CAAGTGTGCACTGTACAGACCTAACAAATTATTCATCCAAACTCTTCCCTGCTCTCTGTTTCCCTGCTACTTAAACCCTGTCAGAGCAAAAAGAAACTCTATCCAAAAGGCAAATAAACAAAACCAAGCAGTGGTATGTAGTGTATTGATTTATTATGTTGTCTTTAATTACGAAGCATTGATCTTTCTGAGACACACCCTTTGAGTCACACAGGCAAACCCTCTCACTAAAAAGAGGCACATGTCCTAGGCATGTATCCCCATACCCCATTTCAGTATCTGAAATGGCTGGCCTTAGTCACTGCACATTGTCTTGCTAGCACAACCTCCTCCTTGGAGGCAAATGCTGCCTAGGCTCTTCCGCAGACACACTTTCTGGTCATACTGGGTGAAGTCTTTTACACTGCTACTCATGGGCATTCTTGAACCATCTGCCCTAGCTTTGGTGTCGGTGCACAGTTCTCAGAGAAATCAAGGAGAGCTTTCCTGAAATCCAATACAGGGGCTGGACCTCCCTGAGCTGCAAAAATGAGAAATCACCAGTCTGCTCCAGCCTTTGGCAAGTGCCTTCAGTGATTTAAGGTAAAAAAAAACCAAGTTCCAGAAATTGGAATATCAGGCAATTGTCTTCCTCTAGGATGTAGAGGAGTAGACTGCATAGACTCAAGAGTAGGCAACATGGAACTAAGCAAAGGACACCTGCCCATGCCACCCACCTAAACAAGAGCTTACAGTAATGGACTGAGATGCCAAGCAACACAATGAGCTCTTGGGATACGTTGCAAAACCTTTTTCAATGGGAGACACCTCACACATGGAAGACTGTCCCATCCCCATAAATACTACAGTGAAAAAAGGTCCCTGCAACAAGTAGAAATGAGTGTCACCCCTTCCAGCTCCCATCAATGCACAGTCATTGATTTACTGAAATCCATTTAAGGCCTTGTCATAGTTGTCCACCCTCTACAGAAGATATTCCAAAGTTGTGGTGATGAGTAGCAGCAGAACCCTTCCCAAAATCATGTTAGCAGGAATTACAAGACAGGGAAAATGACAGAAAGGATAAGACACAAAACTTGCAGTAGCACAGACAGGTTGAAGAGGTCAGCAATGATGCAGAAGAAGATGGGTTAGAACAGTGAGAAAACAGGCTAGCTCATTTTTTTTTCTATATACCTTTTCATACTCAAGTATATGTATATTTTCTTTTTATCCACATTTCTTAGAAATTCTTACTGAGTATGCGAAATCACAAGCTCCCTCACACCCTGTTGCATTTCCCAGGCGTGAGCTACCTGAAACAGGGAGCTCTTTGCTCCGGCCAGCCCCGGAGCACACTTTCCTGGGAAGCATGGCTCCTTCCTCAACACCTGCCTGCTCACACAGCAGTAGAGACTCCCTCTGATGTTCTGGCTCCCCAAAGACAACCGTTTCAGGGAGCGAGCAGAAAGGTGTGGGTTCCTCTATGAGTAACTCACTGGGGCCTGAAGCCAGTAGGATTGTAACTACATTCCTCAGAGGGCTGGTATTTGTTTTTCTTAAATGCTAAATGCTTTGAACAATCCTTCCAGTGACTCCTTTCCCATAAACCACAGGTGCTTATGAAAATGAAAGAGCAACCTTCAACAATGCTTTTGGATATGAAAGCACGGAATGAGGCATCCTTTCCTGGGACACCACCTCAAGTGGCTCTGCCAAGAAAATCTTTGGTGCATCAAGTGGTGGGACTGATGTCAAGGCGTAAGGGACGTGAGCCTGCGGGTATGTGGACGATGGAGGAACGGCACACACCTGGCTCACTCCATTACCTCCACCCAGGAGAAAACAAATCTGAAAAGGCACCACTTGTCCTTCATGCCCAAATCAGACACATAATGCAGGGTGCTAGAGGAACTGGTGCATTCTCTGTGTGCTGGCTGCTTTAGAGCAGCACGGAGAAAGGGGGTGCCTGGTGCCACAAGCTTGAATATTGCCTGCCATTTTCATAATCTCAGGAGCAAACACAAACACAAATATCTCACAACAGAATCTTTCTTGCTTAGAAAGCAAGGGACCATTACAAGACTGTGTCAATATGGAACAACCAAATGGTTTAGGAAAAAGTCATCTCAACTATGGAAATAAAATAACCAACCAACTAGCAGTGCAATGTCAATATGATATAACAAGACAAAAAGAAGCAACTGAACACACAACAAACTTAAGGCTCTAACAGAAAAACATAGGAAAGAACAACTCTATTTTTGGTTTAGCATGATATATCTAGTCCTCGCAGGCAAGCTGATGCACAGGATTATTCACAGTGTCAGTAAATTCCTGCAGTATCTATTTAAGGCATAAAGGAGTGGTTGAAAGATAGAGAGCAGATTCTCAGTCGTTGCAAATCCATGTAGCTTTGTAGGAAGTCAGTGAAGCTCTGCTAAATTACAGCAGCTGAGAACAGCATCTGAAACAAAGCATGGAGCTCCTCATTTGTGGTAAGGTCATTTTAAAAATTCCTTCAATTGGGGTCTAGAAGAAGCATGACTGCACTTGTCTGTTTGAAATTTCAGGGGTTTTTACAAGTGGGAATACACAAACAAAAGGCTGAGAAAACAAACTTTGGGCAATGATATTTAACTCATATGGCATCAGTCACAAAGGAGCTGCATCCCTTTTCCCACATAAGAAGCAATAGGAATGGTTAAGATTCAAAACATATACACATAAACACAAGAACACACATAATCATCCAGGAGTTCAGAACAATGTAAGGAGCACAAATGTGTAAACCAAATTAATGACTTTAAAAGGTTCATATGATACCAGTCACAGAACGTTCAAGGTTCAATCTTTGAAAGAGAGGTTAAAAGCTTTCTAACAGCAAGAGGACCCTCTCATCCTCCCCCAGTTTCAATCTGTTGTTTTCCCAGAACAATGGAGGTGACAGGAAGCAATGACCTAACACAGACCCATGGGGTCACTTAGAAGCAAATCGTAACCCTCCCACATATTGGTATTCCGCTCTTGAGAAAAACGCTTGCATGAAATCTCTGCGTTTCACTGGTTACAGCCCAGGAAAAAGACAGTGCTGCAAACAGAACACTGTAGCCATAGCAACAAGCAATTCCGCACTTAAACTTTTCAACACACCAAACAGTATCTCCTCTCGGGTTTTTGTAATTTCATGGTTAATTATTCACCATGAGCACTTCACTTGTCTAGCTGGTCACTAATATATCAAATATAAACTCCCATTGGTGCTTCCAACAGGAAAATCCCGGACCTAAAAGAATAAGGAATTATGTATATGCAGGCAGATCATATTGAAAATTAAACTTTTTTGTCCCTTTTTGCAAATCAGTATGAAAATGTGGAGGACAGTCCAACTTCTGGCTTGTTAATACAACCACTAGGCCTTTTTTAGTATCTTGTAAAATGTCACATCTGGAAGTCCTAAAGCCTTAAAAGTGAGATTTAAAATACCCAATAACCTCAACAGCATCTCTGAGGAATGCCCTAACAGCACAGACACTCCCACAGGAAGTCCTTCTCCTTTTCACTGATGGAGAGGACTATTTATTTTTCATTAAAACCCATTTGAACACTCAAACCAAAGGCTATACATAGTAAGGATAACACATACTGCCTGGTTAGTGAACTTAACCTTGTAAACCAGGCAGCTTCAAGTCACACTCTCTAAGGGTCTAATGTTACCCTAATAAATGCATGCGTTTTCTTTCCTTTTTTTTTTTTTTAATCTTTTTAGAAAGTGCTGTAGACAAAAGCAACTCATATCATACGTTTTTCTTCTTTTTGATGGCATCTGCAAAAGATTTTTCTCAAAGGCAAAATTTGAGATCTTTTGAACCTTTTTCTTGAAACCCAAAGAAAAAGGAGAGTGCTGATCTCTCCTGTGTAGATTACATAATTCAGTGCTCAACAGAGGTGCCAATTTTAAAGTTTAATCAATTTATTCAGTTAGGCAGTTAATTATCTGAAGCTTTCGCTACCCTTTTCAGATCATTCACCTTTTTCGTACTCCTTCACTGCAGTGAAGAATTTGAATCTAAGGAACGAGACAGCACAGAAACTTTGAGTGCATCAGCGGTCATCCTGCCTTCCTTGCCCCTGCCAATAGCTTAACCGTAGCATCACTCCACCATTCACGGATGCAGGCTTGGTTAGCTGAGCCTACAACTTGGCTGTGGTCTAAGATCTGCTAGCAAGACAGAAGCTCCAGGGATGACAGTGAAGGACAGTGTATGAAACAGACACAGAAACGTGTTTACACACTCAGGAGGAGCGGGGCCCTTCCTCAAGTCTGTTTATTTGAATTAATTTGACAAGTAGCATTAATTTCTATGGACTTAATGGGTCATGTAAGAGATGGTTACTCAGAATTAAGATGTTTAACCCTGCCAGTCACATAGTGTTTTTTGAGGGGGGATTTTTTGCAATGCTTTGGGAACTTCTCCCTCTATATATCACGAGGGGAGGTACCGGGGAAAACATGCTCTCTTTTAGACTTCTTACACATTCTTTGCTCTATAGTGACTTGTCCACCTGCATGCCAGACACCTGCAGTCTGACCTTGCACTCTAAGAGGTGCTGAGTGCTTTCTAGAAGTCAGACAGGAGGTGGCTCTTAGCTGGGAAACTCACTGCATGTGTCCTGAGACATGCATTCGTCAACAGGGCAGGATTCCAATGAAGTGGAAGCAGGAAGACAAGAAGGAACCAAAATCCATTTTCAAGATCTGCTAACAGGATGTGGTTGGTGGATGATGTGGCCAGCCTAGGAGTAAGTGCTTGATGATCTGTGACTGGTCATGCAACACTGTCAGGCTACTAAGCTCTATAAGCATGGTAGATCCAAGCGGTCCTTTTTGATGCAACTCTAACAGAAGGGGTTTGGTAAAATTGAGGGGATGTTGAAAGACTTTTTTAGGAAAAAAAATGAAAGAAACAACATTACGAGAACAGGACTCTTGAAAAGACACATAAATATGCCATACTTACTTTTGTCTTCCTGGTTTTCTTCTGCTGGTTTGCCTTCCTCCTCCTCCTCTTCCTCTTCTTCCTTCTGTGGTGCCTCTTCATGGTGATCGGCGGTGCCGACAGAAAGGCTCTGACAGCAGTGATTGAAGCCACTATCCCGAGGCAGCGTGAAACTTCGGGGCTTGCCCCCGTTTCCGTTGAGCACTTGCATCCGCTCCCCCTCCACGAGCGGGAAGGGGCCGTAGTGGTCTTGCAGGTGGCACTTCTGGGTGGGCAGCGTGGATTGCCGCCGGTGCTCGGGGGACACCACAACGGTCTCGGTGAACACTGAGTCCTCCAGCGGCAGTGTCTGCAGGTAGTGGAGTCCCGAGCTCGTCAGAGGTGTTTCTATGAGGTCCTGCCAGGAGCGCCGCTGGCTCGCCGTCTTGCGCACCGGCGAGTCGGTGGCGCTCCCCACTGCCTCCGGGCGAAACTCCTCGTGCGACGACTGCGACTGAGAGGTCTCCGTGGACGAGAGGCGACTGTGCTTGGGCTCCACATACGGGCTCGCGCAGCTCATCTGCAAAGCAGCAGGAAGCCTTCAGCTTGCGTGTACTGCCAAGAGCTGCAGCCCTTCCATGGCTGTCGGAATGGCCCAGCAGTGAAGACATGAACCTACCCGCCTAACATGCTGGGATCGTAGCGCTGGGACACGCACAGATTTATACATGCAAAAACTGTGGTCAACATATGGGTACACTTATTTGTGCAGAATGTCCCTTCGTCAATAAATCAATCGATACTTTATTTTTTTCAAACTAATATGCACAATAGGGCTCTAGGGAACACACAGAAGAGGAATTCCTGATGTATTAATATTATCTTTCAAATGCTCTCCAAAAGCCTATCATCACCCACTTAAAAGTTTCTTTGGAATCATCACAGTTGGCAATGCTTGCGCCAACAGTTCTCCTTCGTAAAAGTACTGCATCCAAATAAACATCACGACCCCTCCTCACAGATTTTCCTAACTTTTCAGGCCCAATTTTTGCTTTGTTTTTATATATTCAGGTGGGATGTGCTAGCTGAGTTTATAGATGTGAAAATTAAATTTCTAATTTAGAGTATGTTTATATTCCCTATTCTGACTTTATATAAACATCTGCTGCAATAAGAAATAATAATAAAACCACCTTTTGTTCTAATTCATAGATAGGCATACTTTCTCATGAACGACAACTATTATTATCATTTAGGATATGAGTGAAAACATTTTTATGTTGGAATTTGTCTAGAAATGTAAGTGCCATTTGTCACAGCATAATTGTTTTACCACAAGAAGAATCTGTGCTGTTATCAAGGGATAACGTTCTGATGGACTGCATGATAACGGGAAGGTACAGGTTTTTGCATGGGTGAGCAGAGGAATCTGTTTTATACTGAGAGAATACAGAGGACAGAATTCTCTTAGTCCATCATGTGCAATAGCTGGAATTATAAATCTCCACACACATGCAGATGAGGCACTTAGGGACATGGTTCAGTAGGCATGGTGGTGATGGGTTTACGGTTGGAACTGCTGATCTTGAAGGTCTTTTCCAACCATAACGATTCTATGATTTTATGAAGTAGCAGTGATGGCTGTTTAAGTCAGCAATGCACATTACCTAGCAGACACCTCAAGTGAAGTGCTGACTCAAAAAATCCGCTGAAGAGTGCCATAATGTGTGTGTGTGCATGTGTTTTAATTGGAGGTGTAGCTAAATGTAACACTTGATGTAATCATTCCTAAGGAGATGCTGGCAGGTGACTTACCGAAGGAGGCCGTGGGTATGTGTCATATGGAGGTGGTGGGCTGTCCTGCTTGGGTGTTGATGGAGTGTCGGCTTCCTCCTTATCACTCTCACTCCAGTAATCTACAAGTTACATAGAAATCAGATAAAAAACTACTGACACATTTTGATACATATGTACATTAGAAGCTGGTTTTCATATAATATACTGGAAACTACATCCTAGATATTGCCAGGTTTATTGTCATTCAGCAGTAAACATTATTGAATGACGATTGTGTAAATTTTAGCCTCTCTAATTTGGACTTGTTCTGACCCAAAGGAGGAAAAATTCAAACTTTATGGGACATATTAAGCCTAATGCCCCATTGCAGATATATTAAATAGCAATCTGCCAACGAGCCAAAAATTCACACTGTTGTGCACAGCTTATAAATACCATACACATACAAAATACACCTAATACAAATATCTAACTTTCAAATATTTAGAAAATCATCAAGATTGAATATATATCGGCTAGAACAAACTGAAAATATATTTCAAAAAAAAACAAGTAAAAAATAAAATGTACTTGGCAAAATTCTTCTTGACTGCAAATAACATTAACAAATGTAATTAACACTAACTGACAAATCAAACGAGTAGTGCTTATTGCACCATCCAGTATCCTACTGGTCACTCAAGCTTTTTAATTAATTTTCTAATAACAAATGGCTGCAGGCAAGATTAGACAGAAGATTTTATATCATCTGTCTGTTTTCATAAAAGAGCTGCTGTCCTGTTATCCAAGCAAGAGGATAAAGGTGACCTGATAAGGAGAAATATTATAATGATATTTATGTAAAAAGTTACAAAAGATTGATAAGACAGATTAAGTGCAAAAGCCACAGAGTTTGGAAGTTAAACTTAATGTGACATGAGGCTTAATTTTGTCATGGAATCAAATCATAGTCAGTCCCCTTTCATATGTTTGGTAGCTTGGCTAAAGGAGAAAGACACGAGGATGAGTGTACCACATTGTAAATTAGAATTATTGTGTTGCAAATACCATACACCATATCTCCATAGTTGGTACAAAAATAAACTATACAGCTTCTAGCTCTGTTCAAGACGAAGAACGTCAACATTTCCACACAATCTAAAATGTAGGTAAACATTTGTTCTATCATCCTGCTTCTGCATGTGTTAGCCTCTAGTATTGGGTAAATTGTGATATAACTGAACAGCATAGTTCATATGTATAGTTCATATTCTTCATGGACTAATCACAGACAATTTTGACGTTGTTCAATAAATACTCAATGAATTCCATCACTTAATCGTTTCTGTTGTTACATGAGCAGAAAAACATTGATTTTTGTGTCATAAGCTATGCAACAAAATAACAACAACAACAAAAATAACCTGAAAATGTTCCAGGTTGGCACAACATGTAATTTCAGCTTTCTTTTTTTTTTTTTTTTCCCCCTATCATTATGGTTACTCAACATTAAAAAAGAAGATTGCTTACCTTAAAATGAACCCTATTGAAACAGTTCTTTGTATTTTGTATCTAAAATTCTTTGTATTTATAGCTATAAATCAGAGAGTGTAGCCTTACTTAATTATTATTATTTTACAAGCAGTAACAATTTTGTTATAAGACTGGCTCTCTTGATTTGCTTCTTGCAAGAATATATCTGAGAGATCTCTTTAAAGAGTGTACTAAACAAATGGCACAAATAACATTTTCATGAACCTTAAAATCAAGAATTCCAACTAGTTCAGTCTCTGTAGAATTCCCCAAATTGCACATTTTATGTGAAAAAAACACTAAGTCAGAGAAAACTTTTTATAACTCCCACTCACTTTTAAGAAAATTATTTTCCAGTTCCAATTATTTTAAACTGAAAGAAAAAGAAATAAAATATTGGCATACAAGAATATTTGTTCCTACTGCAGCAAAGTCTTATGTAGCTATGCATGGCAAATAGCCTATCGTAATTTTATTACTCAGTGAGATCTCTGCAGACTTAGAGCTGAACTATTTGTTCTGAAATTAAAATTTAGCAAAGTCTCTGTGTTGCTTCGAATTCTGGCTAAATATGCGAAGAAGTTCATGGCTGGCAAATCCACACACAACAAAACACAATATCATGCTTTTGTACACTTCACTGTATTTCTATCAAAAAAAATCTGCAGTTAAGAGGACAATGAAATGAACAAAAATATTCTCCTACCATTTTAAAAAAATGTTTTGCTTTTGGCAACTGAGAGACTATTGTCTGTCTGAAATGCACATTATGCTATCAAACAGTTGCCATGTTTCGCTCTCCACAATGGACAGGCTAAATTCATAGGGCATACCTTGAAAGCCTTCTGAATGAGCAGTTGACTGCATTGACTGTACATAAACTAACATTGGCCCACCATTTGCCAATTCATTATTTTCTATTTATATAAGCAACTACTTTTTTCTCTGATTTTATGTGACTGGAAAGTATGCAACTTCCCTATCCAAACTCCCTTGCCATGTTCTTCACATTCACTATGTTTAATATAGAAAGTTGATGGTATTTTTATCAAGCTGTTCTGTACAGAATGTCACATTTTGTTCAGGAATACACCCACCGTTTGGTGATTCGTGCATCTCTGAAGCACTTGAAATATAGTTATGCAGTTTAGATTCAGAAGTGTTCAACTCTTAATTGAAGCAGGTTTGACAACTACTGTTGGATTGCTGCAGAGGCATTATAAAGCCTTGCTGCAACGGACTGACTGAACAGAAATAAAAGATCTTTTGTAAAATCTAATATGTAGATGACAATCGGTACAGTCACTGAATATAGAAAATTCCAGCTTCACATTATATACAGTTTCAAAGCCACTTGAAGTGATAGAGAGGTTTGCTAACTTGATGCCTTTGCTAATTAGGGACACTGCTCAGCAATTTAATAGCCCTTGTGCTCGGAGCCAACGATTATCACCAGAGGGATCACACAGTATTGCAGTAAGTGGGGAATGTGAGACTGATCCCACACAACACAAATAGGAAACACATGAAGATGATGTAGGTTCCCCTATATCTATATGATAAATCAATTCTGCTGAATAGTGTTAATGAGGTAATGAAGAAACCCCTCACTGCCAAAGGTATCGTACCCATAGTAAGTCTCACTGGAGATTTTATCCAGGGATCTGTTCAAGTAAGAGGCAGCATGACATCTGAGTGCACATGATCTGATGTCTAAGAGCTGCATCATCTGCTATTTCACTGTTTAGTGAAATTATTTCACTTTTTTTAGTGATTGCTTGGAAAGAAAGACTCATTGAACCTTCTAGAGTGCTGGAGAGACAATCATGTGTACACCAAGGCAGACACCTTTTCAGATGCTAGCAATTAATTTCCTACCATTACAGGATGTTTCAGTTTCCTGATGTCTTTTCCTGACTGCTGGAATCACTCTTGCTTCCCACTGAGAAATCATTTTTTTCCACAGAGTCTCCAGGAAGAGAAACATGTAGCAACACATTCCATAAAGGCAGACCACACATCCTCCTCCTCACAATCTCAGAGCAGAAGGACAGGGTGAAGGCTACTCTAAGGTTGTCACAAAAGTTGCTACAGATACATGATTTGAGGGGGCAAGGAGGACACCATCTGCAAATTCTGAAGCCTGGTGGCAGCATTCTGAATATAATTTCTCTCTGAAAATAGCTGGAAATACAGTCTTTGAAGAAAAGACTACATTAAATATATTTCTGCTGTAGCTCAGAGTTGCAATGTTTTAGGAAGAAAAGACAGAACCTCACTGATGAAGACTATGCAGTCACAGAATTAAAAAAGGATTGTCTGACTCAGTTGCCAGTATGCTGACAGGCATCTGGAAAAGCTCTGGGTGATCATGACCATTGTAACTGGTGCCTCCTGCCAGGTAGAGCTGTGAAAAAGAGAGTACGGATTCACAAGGCAGCTGTTTGCCAAGCCAATTAGTTGGATAGAAATACTTCTGGGAATTCATGTTATTGGCAATTCTAGGAAACAACATGCCCAACACGAATGCACCGCCCCATTCTTTTTCCTACCTATGGAAAAGATTTTTTGCTGCAGCAAAGTAAATGGAAGAGAGTCATCATTTTATGTTTTGCTTATTTAAACCCATGTTATACTAGGCACTAAAAAAGCAGAGGAAAGATGTTGTAAAGCTAACGCTGCAAAAGAAGTGCTTCATTGAAAAGGCTAGCAGAATTCTGTCACAAATCTCTAATGAAAATGGCAGGAATAAAAAAATAAGTGGCCTTAAAATCAGTGCTCTTAAGAGAAATTTTATGTCAGTCAGCTTTAGAAGAATGGTTTTGTTCCTGAGACCTATTGGATATGTTCCTGTTCCCTGTGAATTCAAACATCAAGTGCAACTTTAACTTTTTTTCTTTTAGTATGCAGTTTCTTTATTTTCTTCTGATGTGAGACACAGACTCCTCAGTACAGTGAATCTGAGCTAACTGGAAGTAAATTATCTGCTTTTAGCTACCTTTTGTAGCTTTCTCAGAAATAATCCAAGAGTCTGTGGATGAGAATCTGAAGGTGTTAATCAAACATGATGAGAGAGAAGGACTTCTCTAAAGCAACCGCCATATGTGAACAACTTCCATGGGATGGGAATGATAATGGGAAGGGGACTGGGATGGGTGAGAACAGATGAACTTGTGTTAAGAGGTGACAGAAGCAACCAAAAAAACCCAACACATTACCTTGTTCTTGTTTGATCCTCTCTCTTTCTGCATAGCCAGCAGCAAGCATGTTAATTCTGTTTAGCCATCTGAAATAATATTAAAAGAAAAAACAAAAAACACAGTGATACTGAGCCAGCATGCTAATTTTGGGTGCATTTCTACCAAAAAAAAAAAAAAAAAAAAAAAAAAAAGTTATGAGTATTTGAAGGAGATTGAAGACAAAGTTATTTTTCATGCAAGACAGTTGTTTTCTTTGATACTTTTAGTCAGGTTGTCTCCCAAGATCTGTAATTTTGCTGTTGAACAAAATGTTTCCACAGCAAAGATCTTGTTTCAAATGGAAAACCATATATGATGACAAACATTTGTAAAATAAAGGATCTTGAGATAATCAAAGAGCCATTAAGTCTGCTGCTCCTAGATATGCCATCACACCGATACTCCTGATGTTCTGATGTTTTAGAAATAAACACCACTTTCCAGAGATTTGAGCCATATTATAAATCCTGAATTGGCTTCTTAACAGAGGAACAGAGCAGAAAACAGCAGTCAAAAGAACAGGTTCACTCCCAAATAGACAGTGAGGTTTAATTATGCCATTATGGGTTTCAGAGCTTACCTACAGTGCCAAGTACAAAGAAACAGGGGCATATCAGAATTCACTTTTGTGTTTTTGTCAGCCCAGCAGAGGGAGAAAAGACATTTGCCAGAATACAATTCACATCTAAGGCTGTAATGTCAACTTTAAAAAAAGAAAAACCGAAAAACGCTTCCATAAGCCACACAAATTAAAAATAAACTATTGCTATTCTTGTCTAGCAGTGCTGTCATTGTGCAGCACAGAGTCAGCCATGTGTGGCAAAGCCTTGCTTCAACCTGCCCTTCTCCCTCATGGGGCTCTCAAGGTATTCATTAGCTGAATGCTTACATGAAATCATTTCCTCTATAAATGAGACTTTAAAGCAGCACGACAACCTCCCATTGGTAAACTTAGAATTACTTACTCCAGTCATCTCAAATCCAGGATCTGACAGACCTTATTTGCCAAGCTAATGGCTTGCGATTTTACTGCTAAAATGCACAGAAGGACACCTGAAGTGGGTTTGGCATTTTCTTGAAGCATGTGAAACTCTTGTTTCAGAAAACTGTGCCTGATGGGTTTGTTCTGCATCCTGTATGTATGGAAGCTGTGCAGTATTATTTGCTCAGCAAGGGAAACAAAGCATCCTTTTTAACCACTCCTACATGTCAAACCTCAGGACATTTCAGGGCATGCTATGCGGACCTTAGATCGTAATGTATAGTTGCTATCCCTGAAACAAACTTCTATCACTTTCCTTCCACAAACTGCAACCTCACATATGGTCTGTGAGTAACATTAAAGGCCAAAAAAGCATTGCACATTGGGAGGAATGCTGGAGATCTACTGAAGTGATTACAGGATACTTCATATTAGCATGCAATCCAAATTACTGCCTGAAAAACAGCAGAAAAGAGAAGCCAAAGCAGAGACGTAAAATTTCAACTGCAATAGTTAGGAACTGTTACACATGTATATAAATAACATTGGATCAGAAATCCAGCAAATTGTGTTTCGGAAAACTATCTGCATCTTCATGGCATATCAAGTGGTCCCCTCCAAAGCTATCTGCTAGGTTTGCTTTTCTGAATCAGGAAGGCTTCCTCTGGGGAATAAATGTCAGGACAGTGTAAGCTCAGCTATCCTGACAGCTCTGCTGGAGCTCTCCCTCCATCCCAAAGCAGACAAGCCGAAAGGCAGGAGCCACACATGCAGAATGGCAGCATCTCAGCGTGGGGGGATGAGCAACAGCACGAACCATTGCCCTTGTGCAAAGGGTAAAAGCAGCACAGAAGAAAAAGAAAACAAAAAAAACCCCCAAATCCTCCTCTGACAAAAAAGCAGGACAGACAACTAAGGTGGATCCTCTGTTTCCTAAGATATATAATCTAAAGGTGTATATACAAGAAGTGTATAGCCATGTAAGTGAGATACAGTGTACTGACTTCACATTCATTGCTTTTCTGCTTGAAATACTACCTGTGATGCCTGTGAAATGAATGACAAGGTACTGGTGTGGTTGTAAACTGTTAAGGATCATGAGCTTTGGGGTGGTTTGTTAAGTTCAGAAACTAAAAAATAGTACTGACACATGCATATTTGTTGATATGTGGCCACAGTGCAAATCTTCTTCAAGTATGGCTGGAATAGACATGGGCAGAGAGTTAGATTATTTTAATAATAGAGCTAGTGTTGGGGTTTGTTCAAGATAGAAACACATGAGAAATGCACTACTGTATGGTTCTTTCACGGGGAAATCTGTGAAGAATGGAAGAGGTACAGAACACTCCCTCTTTACCAGATATTTAGGACAAGAGTTCTGAGTGTGCAGTTATTCAAAAGTTCTCTATTAGGTATTTCAAAAGGCATAATAAAATCCTACCTGCAAGCCATCTGCAAACTTCTAGGGTATGGAAGATCTGCTCTCATTGATGTTGGCTATACATTGGTAACCACTGTAAATTTTAGGGGATGCGAGGCCAAGAAAAAAATCCTTCTTTACCGCAATAATTTTCTTGTGAGAATTATAAAATGCCTATATTAGCTGTGGCAATAAATAGAGAAACACTGGTAGCTGCAGCAGTCATTTAGGCTTTTTCTTTTTAAGAATAGCACATGCATTACACTTTGTCAGGGTGTAATTAATACAGTTTCATGATTCATGTGCATATGCATCTATACATAAAAGTACTTTCTAGCCCTGTAACTTCTCTAAAGTGGAACACATGTATTTTCACATAGAAGAGTAGTAAGCATTCTTCTGTCTTGTTTCACATCCTAGGGAGATGCAGTGTTTCTATTCATATTGACTTTAATCATAAAGCTCAAGGATACAAGATGAGCTTGCATGATAGCATGACTATCTTATAGAGTCTATATGTAATCAACTGCAGTTTAACTAAAATAAAGCAAGCTTTAGGTGATGGAAATTTTTGGAAGTCATCTTCACTGAAACCTTCTCCACACATTCTCGTGCTACAAGTCAACTTGTCATCTTTGCTTTTGATCACAGAGCTACATTGAGGAAGAAAGACTGTACAAATCTTAATACTCTGCCTACTCACAGAAATAAAGAGGTCAAATGGGTTTCAGCTTGTTCAAGGAAGTTCTCAGACTACTATTCAACATAAAGTTATTGACTGTGTGTTCCCTTGCTCAGAAGAAACAATTTTGGTAGCCATGTATGTCATCACTTTAAAATAAATAAATATAAATACATAGATTGAAAGGGAAGAATAAGGGTATGCTAAGTATTTAAGCCAGCCAGCCCTGAAGAAGTCACATTTGCCTCTAAAGAAAAGATCAGGATCTTTGAGTAAATCTATATTGGACGCATAAGGAGGCAGGCATGATTACTGCGGAAAATCAAAACAGAATTATGTGGAGTACCATTAAATAGAAATATAAGATCTGTACTTGACATTAGAAGCATTTTCCTGGAATAGGCATAGCAATGAGCTTCCAAGCAATGTGTTTCTATGAATATACACTTATACCAGCAAAACTGTACTTTTTACCAATAAAGGTTATTCCGTCCTTCTTCTCACCCAAGCAGAATGGGTTATATGGATGGAAAGAGCACTTTTACTGGTGCAACAGGGTAGACGAAATGAACATCAGATGTCACAGTAATAATCTGCACAGTCAAACTTCTCTCCTTACCAAAATAATGGGGTGGCAGAGTCATGAAGGTAGCAAGATAATCTGAACAGTGTCAGAGTTACCTAACACTAAAATACACATTTCATGTACATGAAATGAAAAAGGAACAGAAATGAAAAATTCACCTGACCTGCATACAAATATTTCACAACTAAATCATTGTTTTACAAAAAGAATGGAGGAAATGAACTATTCCTAGCTTTCAAAAAAATGTGCTTTAGTAGTATGCTATTTTCTTTTCTTCTATCTCAGGTATAAACAGCACTGAAATTACTGAATGATACATAATTAAAATGTACCTGACAAAAAAAGTACAGAAAGTGATCAAATCAGTCTTAATTGTATTTTTGAAATACTGACTGTGAATGTTTTAGGCAAACTTGGATAGAGGCTAGAATACGCTTTTCAACAAGAAACATTTTATTATATTATTATTACTAAATTTATTTCCACGTTCTGCATTTAAATGAAAGTTTAAATTATAATTTTTCAGTAATCCACATTTTCTTTACCAAGTTAATTCAAGATTTCTGAAAGCAAAGGATTTTTTTCATACATTAAGAAAAAATAAAGTATTTTGATGAGACTCTGAAAGCAAATGAAGACTGGTGAGAATCTGAATTAATTTCATAGACTTTGATGGATCTGCTTCAAATTTACATGTATTTAACTCAGCTCAAAACTAGGTCAAGCTCATTCTTAATGAGCTAATAAGCACTTCTTCTAAAATGTGATAAAAAGATTACTCATGCCAGGAGGTTAAAAACCTTCCAGTTCCTGAGTTAGTTTTAGGCTATGTAATATAACTTTAATGCATTGAAGTGTATTTGCTGTTGCTTTCTGATTACTGAGCAGCTATATATTTTTATCCTCAGAAACAAGGCATCCTATCATACTGAGTGAGGGCCTACTGACAGCAATGATTTATATATTGCTGCTGTTCAGGATATATTGAATATACTATACCATTACTGTGCTCATCATGCAGTCAACTGAGATTTGAGTCACTGGCTTGACAGAATTACCTAGTAAAGGCAAGCCTAAAATTTTACAAAGAAATAGTTTATTATTTTTTCAGTTAGTCTCATTTTCTCTTTATTAAAAGCATACAATATTCCTCACTTAGGATGCTTACAAACATCATCTAAGAGTGGGTCTCAGTTGCAATCATATTTCTGTTTGGTTCTTCCATCATAAGAAGGTGATTATATATTTTTTGAACTGAATTACTTTTTTTGTTGTTGTGAAAACAAATGAAATAAAAAACAAATATGTGAATTGAGGTGGGATGCATGCCATTTCTCCAGAATTAAGAGTAAATGTATTTATTTTGTGCTGAAGCTTCAAGCTTTTTTGGGGGGTAAAATCTCAAAAATAGACTAAAATGAATACAGTTAGGCTCAGTCCTTTAGAACTAAGACTTAACTCTTTGCTGTTTTCCAGTTGCTTACGCCAACAAAATAAAATTTTCACTTTATCTACCAGATTAAATTCATGTCAGTAGAAAAAACCTGTCAAATTCACTACTTCTTAGAATTTCTAGTGCCTTTTTCAAGATTGGCATAAGAAAGATCAGTGACTGTTATCAAGCTTTCTCCAACTTCTTACTTTCTCAAGGGCCAGAAACAGAGAGAAGCTTCACTGGGTGACTATCATGTGTTGGGGGGTATGAGCACAAGCAGCTGGAGACAGCTCCCATGCAGGTGCCACACATCCAAGAGCAGGTTTACAAAAACCTAGAGTTCTAAAATCCTGTTTGTATCTTCTTTTGTTTTTTTTTTCTTTTAAGAAAGGAGTAATCTTCTAAAATGTTTTGTAAATCTTCCAATCTTCCTTTCAAAAATGCAATTTTTGCATAAAGGGAATACTTAGCGTATGCAGCCACTCAGAAAGAACGCTACTCTGCGCTCATTTTCTCAACTATTACTGCTGTCCTTGAACTTTGCCAGTTTTCCTTACCTGTTCATATCATCTAGGTGTTCAGCAGCAAAATAAAAACTTTTGATCTTAGGATGGCAGGCTTTGAATGCACTGTAGAGGAAAAACATAATTATAAAAACATAATGGCACACTTTTTTTTTTTTTTTTAAATATAGGAAAGTGAAGTGACCAATGAGATGAGTTCAGATTTCCTGAGTCGTTAAAATCCTCCAAATAGAGTATAAAAATAACTTATAGGATTTAGAACTTATGGAGAAGCCAGGCTTCTCCAACTAAAATGCACTAATGCACCCCTTTCCAAATAATATTTGGTTCATGCATAAATAGGGATCATTCAACAATTACACTATGTTGCTTTTGAATAATATTATCCAGTCAAGGAATAATTTATTTATCAATCCATTTTGCTGATGTATCTAGTGGTGTAAAATTCTTTCTGGATAGAAGATTGATTAAAATTGTTCAGTACAACAGAAAACCTCTCAGTCCTGGTGACTGCTCATATCCAAATGACCTTGACACTACCTCTAGATCTAATGACTGGGTTTCAAACAGAAAAAAAAAAAAAAAAAGGTGATGTGCTGATTGATTTCTGAAGGCTGGTTATAAATTAAGATTGTGTTCTTGAGGTCATACCAAACAATGGGCAATTACATCTCATCTTTCCTTTCTATCAAAGTAATCAACATGACTGGGCAGCGAGAATTACAGCATACATAGTAAGAAATAATAAGAAATAAATTATTTGAAAGAATTTTTAAACTATGTTGGATAAAGCTTTATGGTGAAGTATTTGAAGATCTAGAAAATGAATCTGAAAGTAATTAATAAGACAGAAGAATCATTTTTGAATATAGTCTGAAGGTCTCTCTTAAAATAAGGACAAAAATGTCTAATACTTTCGAAGAATTTAAGAAAATGCATGAAACACATAACAGCACCATTATCATTTTTTCTGAGAAACAACAGATTAGATTAATACAACATATATCTATGTCTGTCTATATTTATGTAGGTATACATATATGTAGCTACATATATATATATATATACATACACATACACGTATAAGGAAATAGGTTTTCAGAAATCTGTTATATGTAATCCAGGAAAGGTCCTGCCACTGAAGATATTATGTAAAAATAATATTCTTGAGACCAAAAAGACTCATCTACACACTAGAGTATGACATAATGTTATGCAAGTGAATACAGATGTACAGTGACATCTGTTCAGTTTAGAAAGACATCATCAAGTTACTAAGACCCCAAGCTTGACTTCTTAAAATTGTTAAAGCATCTGTTGTCTGGATTCTTTGAGTCATTTTTCTTTATCAGCCACCCGAGCAAGGAATTTTAATAGCCACATTTTATGTTCTACTCTCCAGCACATAACAAACGCTGAAAAAAAAATTAAACAGGGTGCCATTCTGAGAAATGAGTTGACATATCAGTGTTGCTGTCTAACAGAACATAAAAGTGAATTACTTCGGCAGTGAAGCCCAATGATCCAGGACAATACACACAACCCAAGCTGATATATCCATATTTGTATTTTTGAATTATATATATGACATAATATTATATCATTTTATATTCAGTATATATGTATACACCCACATATATATATACACATGCTTAAAAAAATGTAGTTTTCATTTTCTGCCCTTTGAGATCATCATGAAGAGGAGACTTAATCCTGAACGGATACATAAACCAAGCAGGACAAAGTCAGAAATACTTTAGAATAGCACGTACTATAAATTAAGGGGAAAAGCCATTTTACTTTTGCAATTGCTTTTCTGCACAGTTTTAAGGGATTGTATGTTCTTGAAAAATTTAAGTCAAAGAAAAGTAAAAACTATTAGAATGCAAGGCAGAAAGTTTTCAACAATAAGACTTAAAAATACATTTGCTATTACTATAAAAATGCATCAAAATAAAAAATAGGCTTGTGCAAGGGCATATATTTGGACACCAGCATACATACCTAGGTGAGAAGAAAAGTTGTTTTAGAGTTTTCAGGTCATACTCCCGAAAGAAGAGAAATCACTGTCATCCTCTTGTTTAACTCCACCTCAGGACTGACTCTCTGCGCCAGCAAACTTTGAGATGTTGTTAACTAATTTGGAGTTATAGTAAAGATTGATCCCTGGCCATGAACTTAGGATGGTGTCCTTATTTTGCTTCAAGTTGTTGTATCAAGCTTAAAAGTGCTATAATATCCCCCTCAGGCTGCCCCTTTTCCCCTCCTAAGAAAAGAAGAAAGCCTAAAACTATTCATTTAATAAAGGAACGATCAAGCAGTCTTCTTGCTTTTAATGTACTTAGCTGTGATCACGCATGATAGTTTCAGGTCTCTCTTTGGGAAATACAGCACAAAAAACACACCAGAGCTTGGCTCTTCAGTATGACCTTGTTCTATGATCACTGTAAGAAACTCCATGATTGTCATTGCTGTACAGGAAAACTTTGTCCTTAGTTCCACTTCTTCTATTGTTTCATTGTATTGCATTTTTCTGGAGTATACTTACTATTTCTTGCGGCATTCACTGGCCCTATCGATTTTAAATTCAGGTAGACTGATGAATCCTTCGGCTTTTTCATCCTACAAAGACAATTCTAGATATTACTGTTAAGGTGGCAAAAAATATCACAGAAAAGTTAGCAGAAGATATATATTTTCACTTGTCTGCTTTTTACATAAGAAGTACTAATATATGCTCTGCTCTGGCAAACCTCCCACAAAAGTCACTGGGACTTTTGCCAAAGTAATAAGACAGATCCCTTGGTATAAACACAGTTTTTAAATATTCAGTTTCCTTAACCAATTTCACAGCTGAAACAGCATTTGAAAAAATGTAAAATGACCAAGTGTGTTCAGGCAATTAGTCAACATAATTAGTTAATTTTGGAGGAGGATGGGCTAATTAGTAAGAAGAGATGCAGAGTATTGTAAAGGATGGGGAAAAAAGAATTTGATTTTGCACTGTTTACCATTTTTATGTGATATCACAGCTAAGAAGCATAATAGTTAATTCAGATACTTTTGGTATTTTATGTATGATTCAGTTATTCTCCTTCTCTAACACAGAGCAGACACTTGACCTTTCTCTATAACTTGTACATAGTTTATTTTATGAGATTGAATCTCTCTAGACTTTTGTCAATTTGAAAGCATTATTTATTTTAAGCTACTAAAATATCAGTTTCACAGACTTTCTTTTTAGACTGCTCATAATCTTGCATTAGAAAATAATACAGCATCATAAGTGTGAAGTATGTGAAGGAATTCCACAGAATTACCTCTTTAACTTTTAGATCCTTCACAGCTAAATTTGCTAAATATGCTATTATGGGCATTTTGCTGCAAAACGTCAGAGAAAACGGAAACATTTCTTGGGTGAGGTGCAAGGTTATAAGGGGCTTTGCACTAGCATGTATCTTAAAGTCAGAAGTATCTTTAAGGCAGTTTATAATAATCTTGCTACCGATATTTTAGGCCTGATTGCCTAAAAAAATTTTGGCAAGAATGTTGTTTGCTTGTCTGCCCCTCTGTCAGTGAGTCCTCCTCCACAACAGCTTTTGAATCTGTGGGTGATTGCCACCACTTTTCTCAGGGAGGTCTCAAATATAATCAAGCTCCAGCAGGTCTCATGGAAATCTGGGCAAAGGAAGAGAAGAGGGAGCTGCTCAGATCACTGCCCCCTCCTGTATTTGGCTTGAGAAAAGTCAAACTCAGCAACTCCACAAACTCCTTGACCAGGGCTGATGACCAGTCTTGTGGCTCTGAATTACTACCTCAGCAAGGACCTCGTAGTAGATCTTGGGGAAGGAAGGAAGAGACTAGAGAGTTGGGATTACTGATTTGAAGATGATTTTGAGGCACAAGTAGCAGGAATCCCTGCTGGGGGGTTCCCTGGGAAACCAGGTTTGGTAAATTTGTTCACGGAATGACTTCCTATATACACAGTGAAAACTATGAAATCATACTATTTAAAGTTCTTAAGAAACTAAGAACTCATCCTATGTTAAATAAGTGTACAAATGCTCGCAGGATTAAAATAACAGAAATACCAATCCAGAACTAAATATATCCATATGCTGTCAATGACTTTCTTTTGGAATATTTGCATATTATACTAGAGATATTTAAAATTAAGGTTTCCTACCTCACCAAAGCAAAAAGCAATTTTACCAAAGCTGACATAAATAAACCTACACTAATGTAAAATCTGTTGCACAATCAAAGCTGTACACAATTCAGTTAGGCTGCTCCAGTATTCTTAAACTCAGCATACATGATCACTGAAATCATAATAAAAAGCTATGCAGAAAGAAGGACAAGAGAACAACAACTGAAAAACAAATGCATCCTCTGTAATTACTAGAGCTTTTTGTCATTTTACTGGCACAGAAAAACAAGGAACCCCAGACAGAACATTATTAGAGTTTACCCTCCCATGACTAAGCTTGAATGACAGGAATAAATAACTACCTTTTCCCTTCCGGGGCTCGAGCAATGAGAAAACGATAGGTTTATTCTAAATTGTTGAGAGTAGGACACAGAAAATAGTGTTTTTCCTCCTTACAGAAAAAAAAAGGGGTGAATTTGAAGGACCAAATATATTTATATAATCTAGACAGGACTTAATTGTTATTTAGGTACAATTATTCTGGTGAAAAAAATCATTCTCACAGATAAGCACTCAGAACATTAGCCTTCCCCTATCTCTTGACAACAGTACTGCACAGTGTTTTTGATTAAAAAAATGAGCAAAAATGTTTACCTCTTCATTGATATACCAATATAGAGATGTATCTTTCAGGACAAACCAATATTTTTTCCATTTCTGGGAGAAATAGCTCTTGGCATCTTTCTTTTTCCAAAGCCAGCCTTCACAGTCCCCTCGGCCAAGGTCTTTACATGAGATCCTTCTTTTGCTTTTACCAGGAATAGGAGCTAAAAATGACAAAGAGTTGATGTGAAAGAGCTTGATTTGTCCACTAAAATCAACAAACCAGTTAGCCATAAAGTACTATGTATATGCTTAAGAATATTAATTAAACATTTTGACCTCAATTTGTCATTATTAAATTATTACAAACCTTATACTTGGGCCACGAGGGCTATGCAAGACACCATAAATTAAAAATAAAAAATAAAACAAATAAACAAACCATGTTCAGCACCTCACAGAGCTCATATTCTACGGATGAAACAAAATAAAATAGACAAAAGCAACAAGGAAAGAGAAGAGGTTAGAGAGAAAGGAAAGGCAAGATATTAAAAAATAAGAAAATGGTTATTTATCATTTCAACAAATTAATATTTCATGTCATATTAAAAGCATATGGCACACATACTCATGTACTATCACACTGGGCTGCTTATTTTTATGTATTTTAGTCAAGTACATCTATGTAAGAACTTGACAGATCCTCAGAAATCTCTCTGTACAGCTCCTCTTACAATTAAACAGTTCTTAAAGCCTTTGTACTTCTAAATCAAAGGAGAACAGTCTACTGCTTAAGGAATTGCCACACAGTCTAGATATTTTAGCAAAAGCTAGGGCTGCAGTAAGGCACTATATAGACATAGCTGAGAAACACATTTCTGCTCCCAAGGAGGCTGCCGTGTAAATGTAAAAAAAAGTGATAATGACAGATATATATATATACAGGGACAAGAGAATATTACAAAACTATGAGTCATCAAAAAGGGACTAATAGCTTCTTCATACAGCCGCTATACACATGGTTGGAACTAACAAGTTCTAATTCCTAAGATACTGCAATAGTGTAAATACTATGCCTGTAAAATTCATCCTACAAAGAAATTCAAACTAAATTAATTTTTACCTTTGTTCTTCTTTTTGCTTTTCTGCTGTAGAGAAGATTGCTGAAATGTCTATAAGAAAATCAAAAGAGAAGTGAAAACACAGTGTTTATTATAGTCAAGTGCATCCCCATCATAAAAGTAGTTACACTTTGCAAACACTGAAGTCATCATATTGCATTACTCCCAGCAGACAGACTCCTAGGCCCAAGAAAAAAGTATATGGTTCTACAGCAAAATGACACTGAAACATACTAAAAGAGACCACATTTTAGTTTGCTAGTGACAACTGTCTGCTTTTTTTTCTCCAAAATGGTCACTCTTCTCTCCATTCTGTTAGTAAGATATGTCTAATTTGTTTAGTATAATAGTGAATCTACACAGTTCTTGCATTTCCAAGAGATTATATAATTAAGACCTTATCCAAATAGATCCTAATAAAGCATTATTGTTGCCTTGGAAGAAACATAGGAGAGAAATTGCTCCTTTGCCTACCATACTAACTTTGTAAAAATGTCAATTCAAATTAATAACTTTGTAAAAATGTCAATTTAGATTAATAAGTTTCACAGTCATTTCTGTTAAAAAACTCGAACTCAGAAAATCAGCATCATCCCGACGAATCAAAAATTATTTCTCTAAGAAACTGCTCCAAGCTGTTAACAACACAATTTCAGCTGCTGCAGATTTTAGCTTCATATATAGTGAGACAAAAATATTGGTGGTGAAACTAAGAAAAAGCTCCAGAACATTAGAGTATTAGAGTGTTAAAACCTTTCTTTAAGCTTCCACCGAATCAATACAAAAATCAAAAGCTTTTGTGTCGCATGTCAAAAATAAATCTAAGTGAAAGCTCTGACAGCTCTGTGAGTCTGAAGCCTGTTCATAATTGATAAGGCAAACTCTCACCTCACGGTACAGGGCTCTCTTTGGCTTAAAGATTTGCTGTTTCTTTTTGTTTTTTCTCCCACCTCTCCCCGCTCAAATGCAAGCCACGATGGCTCAGCTTGCAAGCTCTTGTCTCAAGTAAGAGTTGTGACATTTTCAAGCCTCAAATGCTAGCATCATATTCATCGGGATAGACTGCCAACCATACAACAATAATTAAGAGTATTATCATGAAATTAAGAGTCTCGGTGGAGGTGCTGATCCCTTGTGGGCTGCATCTGAGGAAAGCTGCTCAACTGTATTGCTGCCTCAGATGGTTAAAAAGGATCTCCATAGGAAGGAAAAGCGGAGCCAGTTTGTTTTGGCTCTGCTCCTTTTCCTCATCTATTAGTGTCAATTCAGTGAGTGCGGCTCTCAGCAAGCTGAGAGAGACACCACTGCCATCCCATCTTCCGTCACATGAAATATTTCTACTTGCAAGATTAAAAGAAGTCTTCTTGGCTCACGGAGAAATAACAGGGAATGACTGGCAAGAAGGCTGTAAATAACATTCTTCCTCCTAGAAGCTTGGAAAATGGTAACCTAAATCAAAGTGGTTGAAACTCACACACACAAACAAATCTGCAGCACACCTCTACTCAAAGAAACACAGACCACTTCATTCTGCCGCTTTTCTGCACCAGCATCTTAACAGTGAACTCACCAAAACAAAAAATGAAAACTTCTGCTTGGTTTTCTTATAAGCTATACTGGAAATGTTCTTTTGAGCAAATGAAAATGCTTTTTAAAATATTTCATCTGTAAATTGAATGTGAAAAAAGTGAGCTTGCATCTCTCAACTTCTGAGTCAGTTTTGGGGAAGAAAGCATAATGAAGGTGTATCAGTTTTTAATAGGAAGACAGCATGTAATTTAGCTGTCTAGCCATTTTCCCATACATTTTTATATTGCAAAACAGAAGGGTTTTATTAGAATTCATTTATTGTTCTGAATTAGACCTTTAATAAGATGATAATCAAGGACACAATCTATAGCTGAGTAACATTCTTGGGAACCATTCCCATCACTTTTGTCAATTTCTGCTCATACTTTTGATTTTGTTCCATCTATCATCTGTACATCTGTACCTCTGTACAAAGGCTGTTTGCTACAGCCTTTAGGTGTCAAGTTGGTTTGTTCTGTGCAAAAAAATGTGCAAAAAGCAACACTATCTCTTGTTTTTTCTTTCTTTCTCTCTCTCTCTCTTTTTTTTTTTTAATAGGAAAGATGTATGCATTGGTTAACCCTAGCTTGATTAACACTACTGGGCCTCAAATCTGCATACAACTCCAAAAAACTGCAAGTGAGGATGAAGTCTAAAAATGCTCATTCTGTTTTATTTGCTGCTGTTGCTATTCTTTTTCAGTAAATCATTTAATGCAACAGCCTATGTAATTGGCAGCCCCCTCTAGATATCAGATGCTGCATATTCCCATTTTCTCAGTTCAGTTTACAATCTAAGTGTGATATGGTTTGGAAATGGATTTTTGAAGGTTGTCTACTCCCTCCCAAGGCACAGCTTGCTTTGAAGTTGGATCTAAATCCAAAATTAGATCATGTTCTTCATGGTGTATCTTCAGCCTACATTAACCATGAATATCTCCATGGAAGAAGTTTCCACAGTCTCTTTAGTGACCTATTCCAAAGTCTGGCCAACACAGTGTTTCCCATTTTACAATTTAAATCTGCAACGTGGCAAATGGCAAAATAGCAAAAATGTGGTTTTTTTAATGCCATAAACCTTTAAAATATGGCTTCTTGACAAAGCACAGAAATTTATTTGTATTAAGGTAATGGTTTGCTGCAAGATACTGTTTAATCACCTGCCTGTGAGGCTGCATTTCAACATATGTTCACGACATTTTGATTCTGATCAGTCTTGAGTTTTGAGCAACTGTTTTCACATACATCATTCGTCCCAGTTTCCAATGATTCATCTTTCCTACTAATCCTGACAGCAAGCATGAAATTAAATGGAAAACAGCTGCCTAAATTAAATAAAGTTGTTAGGATCTCAAAATAATGCAAAAAAAAGGATACAAAACTGCCACTGAAATGATGTAAGAGATGAATACCTTAGCCTGAATGGAACTTGTCACTGCTTGAGAAAATTTGAAAGTGTTTATTCATATTCTGAATTGCATGCTATCTAATTTCAAAAACACTATTAGCAAAACTTTCCATTCTCCAAAAGCCGGGCAACATCACTTGATGTTTAATATATATCAAAATTTCACTTCATTATCTTTGGGTTCAGTTATTTGAGTTTCAATCATTTTCTCCCATGATATGTGATGTTTGAGCTTGTCTTATTTAACAGCATACCTAAACTGCCCCATCTGACAGATGCATGTCTAAACAGAACATCAACGAAACATTTATATATATGCATATATGTCTACTTTTGCTATCATCAGCCTCCAGAACACACGTAATGGAAGAGCAACAAAATATCATTCATAATAGAGTGTTTTCTATGTTCTTCTTTATGTTTTCTTTTTTAACAAACTTGCCAGCCTACTTCTTGATAATATTTCAGTCTAATCTCTTCTGAGGGCTTGACTGCATCAGTCAGTGGAAATTTCACCATGCATTGAACTACTGTAACAGTTGCTCTTTCTGCAGTTCCTCATTACCAAACTTGTTATGTGGGTTGTATAGTTAGCTATGTGGGAGTTGCACTGCCAAGAGGAGTCACCAAGGGTAGTTATTCCTTTAGCAAGAAAACAAACATATGCAGATGTTTTATTCAACAATGTCTTTAGGTATACAACCACATATCAGCATTTTAGTAGGTACAACATAAAACATCCAAGAAATGAGGATGTTAGATTTTTCTCTATTGCTTAAAATTTTGCAGATTCTTGTGTACTTTTAGCTTCACGGATAAAGTATTCATTCTTGGATACCTTTAGTACTAGGTTCTTTGTATATTTAATCAGAAGGCAAGGAAGATTAATAGCAAGTCATTACCATTGAGAAGTCTGAAATGTGATTATTTATTATGGATTACTTAGTAGTAATTTAATTGCTCTATATTTGGAAAAATGAGTTTAAATAGAAGTGTTAATTCATTTGTTTAATGTCAATTAGGAAATGTAATATACTAATCTTCCAAAACCTATAATGCATTTGAGAGAAAATGCTATAAAGAGAGGTGAATTTTCAATAAAACTCTCATTTTGTCATGACAGTTAGAACATTCCTTAGTCAAAAGAAAATCCAGTTGGTGCCTAAAGGAAAAATGGAAGACAACTAGAACGACTAATCAAGTGTTGATTTGGGGGGGGTTATTTTGCCAGACTTCGAGAGTTTAAGGAAGAAGTCCAGAGTAGTTATCTCTATTTCTCTTCCAGCAATGATCAATTCTTTGTAGTCAGAGCTAGTATAAACACCATACGACTAACATTTCATGACATCTATGTCCCAAAATACATATATTCTAGTAACTATGTGGACCCACTTACAGATTTTGTAGTACTACCACAAAAGAACATAACTGAACATAGCAGAAATCCTTAAAGATTTGTACTGGCCATAGTGATTACTACGAAATTTGATGGCTTCCCAATGTTATTTCATATTTTCACTTTTCTTCAGAGATGTTCTACTCACTCATTTTGGAAAGCTGGAAGAAGGAAGCAGGTTATAGAAATAATAACCTCCACAACTCTTTGTGATTTTGAGCTCGTTCAGTCTGGGAAGGAAATTGGCAGGTATTTTTACTGTTTTTTTGAAAGCTCTAGTCAAATCCAATTTTTCTCAAGCTGTAAGTTTAGACACTAAAGAACTATTTACAGTCAGACAGCTCCACTCTGTTGCTGTAAGATAACTTTCTCTACTTTTCTGCAGAGGAGCTAGCTACACTTCTGATTACTGGAACTTTCTGCTGCTGATGGGAAACCTGTATCTGGAAAAAAAAAACTGTTGATGCTCATCTGATCGCTCTCTTACACTCAACATTTTGAGCACACTGGCAGTGTTCTGTCTTCACAGTTTTGATATACTGCATACAAATGTTTCTCCATACAGGGAGGGCTGAGATGTAAAATTTTGGAGATAAAAGAATGAAAAAGAAAAAAAGTCAAAGCCACTTACACTAAGTTGTCTTAGTATTCCTCAGTATGAACACTGTGTTTAGGAGTC